GGGGGAGAGAGGGGAGAGAGAGGAGAGAGGAAAAGAGAGAGATAATTAAGAAAGAAAGAAGGGATGTGGGGAGTCTGGGTAGGATCTGGGTCCTTGCTGCCCCACCCCCTGCCTTGGGGTCTAAGGCTGCCAGAGAGATTTGAGCAGGACCCACGCAGCACCTGACCTCTGGAATGTGTGCCCTGGGGGGCAGGCTGAGGAAGCTTATAAGCCCCTTGGGGGACATTGTGGGAGGAAGCAGGCAGGAGGCAGGCCAGCCACAGAATCCAGGAGCCCAGAGGTGGCCAGGTAAGCAGCCCCTGGTCCCCACCTACAAGCCTGGTGGTCTTCCTCTGCTGTTTTCAGCCTCAGGATGCCCTCTCTGCATCTCCTGTCCAAAGAGGTCTCTCACTTGCTCTCTCTAGTTAGAATTGCTTCTCTGATTCTCTGAGTCTCCATCTCCAAGTCACTGACTCTGATCAAATTCTTAACTTCCCTGTCTCTGTGGCTCTCTCTCTCTCTCTCTCTGCATCTTGCCTCTATCCCCGAGGGTCCTCCCCACTCCTCTCCCTGTTCATAGATGGTGGACACTTTCTCTGTACCTTCCTCTCCACTTTCTGTCTCTTTCTCCCTCTGTCTCTGAATATCTCTCTCTGCATTCTGAGTCCCAAACAGGGGCCTGTAGATGTTCAGTAACATCCCAGGGGGCCCAGAAGGGAAGAGAGAGATGAGAAGCTCTGTTCTGAAGGTCCCCAGATTCCCCTCCTCATTCCCAGGTGCCGACATGATGGTCACAGCAGGAAGCCCTTGGGGCTGGTTCCTGGGGTACCTCCTCCTTGGGGTCACAGGTATCTGAGTGTGTGTGACTGCCTGAGGGCACAGTGTGGGCTACAGTACAGGTGTGATTTAGTGTTCCTCTGCTGTGTGAAAGGACCATGTGGCCGTGTGCCCCTGTGGTGGGACACATAGGTAATTCCTCACATCATGGTGGCTGTGCATGTAGCAGTGTGATTGTGTGTGTGGTGTGTTACTGGGTAAATGGCTTTGGTAGCTTGTTCCTCTGAATAGCCTGCAGAGTGACAATGTTGTATGGATGCCGTGGGCACAGGGGAGGCGGAGGGTGCCATTACATGGGAGATGACTCCTCTGGAGTCACCCATTGCTGAGGATCCGGGCCTGCTTCCTGGGTCTCCAATCCTCAGATTCACTGGCACCCACGGCAGGGACTATGATGGTGTTTCTGTGTGAAGTGACTGTGGCTGGGTGCGACCAGGCAAGGCTGGCGGAAGGCATGGCCAGGGCATTACAAAATGTGACCAACTCCCTGAGTAGCTGGCTGTGTGTGCTCAGCCTGGGTGAGGGTCCGCTGTGCTGGGAGACTCCTGTTACAGGGCTTGGTTTGCAGAAGAGGAATGTTATGTGGGTCCTGGAGATGGGTCAGTGACTCAAATCTGGAACCCTTCTGAAAAATGCGTTGTCCTTATGATCTGATCTCATCTCCCAGACCTCCTCCAAAGGGACCTGACCCCACTCTGTGAGCCCTGACCCCACCCCTGAAGCTTGTCCATGGCTCCCCTCCCTATCCATGACTGCAAGGGCCCAGTCTCCAGAGCCTGCCTCCAGCCTAGACTGCGCGCAGGCCACACCCCAAATAGTGATCCCTCCTTTTGCCGCTGACTCCTCCCCCAAGACCTCCGACTCTGTCCCCAAACTCTGACCACACCCCTGCACTCAGACCCTACCCCGGGAGCCCTGATCCTGCCTTCTAAACCCGCCCCACAGCCACGGCCCCCCCCTGAACCCCTGGCCCCACCCCGAGGCCCTGGCCACGCCCCTTCACTGGGACTCCCCTACCCCGGGAGCCTTGGTCTTTCCTCCTGGGCCGGCCCCCAGCCCTGACTCCGCCTCCAGGGTCCCTCGCCTGGAGTGGCGGCAGCCACATCATAAACGGCGAGGACTGCATCCCTCACTCGCAGCCCTGGCAGGCGGCACTGTTCAAGGAAGATGAGTTTTTCTGTTCGGGAGTCCTCGTGCATCCCCAGTGGGTGCTGTCAGCTGCGCACTGTTTACAGAAGTGAGTGCAGGAGGGGGTGAGTGTGTCGCTATCTCAGGGGAGGGGGCTCACACAGACCCAGCAGCTGTGGCGACAGCTGTGCTGGCCCGTGGACCCAAGCCTGGAACCGGGGAGTCCAGGGGTAGGGCAAGGCAGGCGCGCACAATGTTGCTTTGGGAACATTCAGAGAGCCCTGGGAGTGGGTCACCCGAGGCTTGGGGCAGGTTCTGATCCCTGGTTGTTGCGGATGAGGATTTGAGGTCACGGTTAGGTGACTCCTAGCACGGTGCTTGGTAGGGAGATGGGGTGGGTCCTAGAGTGGGGACGGCCTGGGTGGGAGGGTAGTCGTCACAGAACTCAACCTGCTCCCGTGGTCCTCAGCTCCTACACCGTGGGTCTGGGTCTGCACAGTCTTGAGGCCAACCAAGAACCAGGCAGCCGAATGATGGAGGTCCTCCTCTCCATCCAGCACCCGCAGTACAACAATCCCTTCTTCGCCAACGACCTCATGCTCATAAAGTTGAAGGAATCCGTGCCTGAGTCGGACACCATTCGGAAGATCAGCATCACCTCCCAATGCCCAACTCCTGGGGATTCCTGCCTTGTCTCTGGCTGGGGTCTGCTGGAGAATGGTGAGCCTATGCCACCTCTGCCCTCTGTGAGGGGTCCCCCTCCCAACCAGAGGGGCTGACCCAGAGCTCTGTGTCCCAGGCAGGCTGCCCACGCTGCTCCAGTGCACCAACGTCTCGGTGGTGTCCGAGAAGGTCTGCAGTGAGATCTACACCTCCCTGTACCACCACAGCATGTTCTGCGCAGGCGGGGGACAGGACCGGAGGGACTCCTGCAACGTGAGAGATATCACAGGGGGGGGGGGACAGAGAAGTGGTGACAGGAGGTACAGTGAGGAGTAGAGACAGGGGGATGGGAACAAAGGGAAAGAGACCGGAAGAAACAGGAATAAGTACAAAGGAGAATACAGAGGCAGAGGAGGAGAGAAAGAAACAAAGCCAGAGCCCAGTGAGACCCAGACAGAGTCCAGGAGGAATCCCAAGAACCAGAGAGGTGCAGAGGCTCAGAGAGAGGAATAACCCATGGGAAGACACAGGAGAGACAGATCAACAACAAGCCCGAGGGAAGCGCGGGGCCCACTCTGGGCACAGGGAGCAGGCAGGGGGTCAGGGACCTGCAAGGGACTTCCAGGGGTGGGTTGCTGCTTGTTTTCTGTCTTTGTCTCTCAGTCTCATGTGGCTCCTCTCTGATCCCACATCTAGCCCCACCTCTAAGTGTTTCGGATTCTGACTCTCTCCTTCTCTCCATATCAGGGTGACTCTGGGGGCCCCCTGGTCTGCAACAGGTCTCTTCAGGGCCTCGTGTCTTTGGGACAAGCCAAGTGTGGCCAGCCTGGAATGCCAAGTGTCTACACCAACCTCTGCAAGTTCACTGACTGGATACAGAAAACCATCCAGGCAATTTAGCCTGGGGGATTGGACCCACGACACTGGCCTCCCTCACCCAGGAGCCCAGGACCTTAGTTACCATCTCCCGGTGGCCCAGAGGTCCAGAACCCAGCCCTCCTCCCTCAGACTCAGGAGTCCATTCGGAATCTTTTCCTGTCTGCAATGCCCTTATCAGCCCAGTGTTTCCTAGCCTCCCGGGTATTAGGCTGGTTTTCACCCTTTGATCCCCTTCCCCCAGGCCCTGGAGTAAAGTGTGAGAGCAGCCGGGTTCTGTTGGAAGTGTCCTCCTTGCTTCTCTTCCCATTGAAGGATTCCAGCAAATAGCTTTTCCACCCTTAGTCTTGTTTCCCCATCTGGCAAGCAGGAGCTTTGAACAGGAGGCCACAGGGTTCCAGGGGGAGCAGCTGCACCTGAGAGGTTAAGAGGAAACCAGTCCCGTGAATGTTGTCCAGTGCCTGAAAATCCAAGTCAGCAAACAGTGGATTTAAGTGATTTCTCGCTTCATTTAACTATTTGGTTTTGATTACCTTTTTCCATTTTTGTCTTCTTAGCTGCATGTTAAGTTTGCTGGATGTGGTGGCACACACCTGTAATCCCATCAGCTAGGGAGATTGAGGCAGGAGGATCATGAGTTCAAAGCCAGCCTCGGCAACAGCATGGTGCTAAGTAACTCAGTGAGACCCTGTCTCTGAATAAAACACAAAATAGGGCTGGGGATGTGGGTCAGTAATCGAGTGCCCTGAGTTTAATCCCCAGTACCAAAAAAAAAAAAAAAAGATGCATGATTTGTAACTACTTCAGGACCCTTGCTGGAGGCTGGTGGGAAGGCATGAGAGGAAGGATACCTGGGGACAGAGAGGGGGACCTGGGGACAGAGGGAGGACCCAGGGACAGAGGCAGAGACCTGGGGACAGAGAGGGGGACCCAAGGACAGAGCGGGGGTGACCTAGGAACAGAGAGAGGGGAAGACTGAGGGACAGAGAGGGTGAGCCCAGGCCCCTAGAATATGAGGAACTGCTGCTATTAGAGTCTTCATTGGTAAATTACACCAGGAAGAATGTGCCTATAAAAATTTATATTCAAGATGTATTCATAAATCATCGTGCATCTATCTCCATAAGGAGATATCCAAATTTTATGGATCTTTTAAAAGATCCTCAAATATAGAAAGGAGTGAGATCACTAAAATTAAATCAACAAATTCCAACTCATCAAAGGGGATTTTTAAAGTGACCCAAAGACAATGATAGAACAAACAAGATAAAAATGAATAAGGATAAAGATTATTTGAACAATGGGACTAAACCCTTCACACAGTGGGCATCTGCAGAATGTTGCGCTCAGGGTCTGGAGGACACAGACTCTTCAAAACACTACTCCAGGGATGGCTGAAATTAAAAGGATCCACAGCAGCGGGTCTCCGTCAGTGCAGGGCAGCTGGCACTTCCGTGCCTTGCTGGGGGCAGTGTAAGATGGTACCACGACTTTGGAAAGTAGTTTGGCAAATTCTTAGAAAGATGAACTTGCATCTGTTCCATGAGCAGCAACTTTATTTCTAGTTTTTATGGAAGAGATATGAAAAAAAATATATGCTTGTCTAAGAATGTTCATCGTAGTTTGGTTTATAGTAGTCAAATTCGAAACAGAGCAAGTGTCCATCAAAGGGTGAGGAGGTGAGCCCAGGGTGACGTGTCTGAACAACAGAATACCACTTGGCAATAAAAGGAAATGGGCTGTTGATGTATGCAACAATGCAGATGCACCCCCAAATCACCACCTTCCGTGAAAGAAGTCAGATGCAAACTATCACACACCCTACAACTCCAACTGCAGGAAAGTCTGGAGCAAACAAAGCTAATCAGTGTTGCCTGGTTGCTGGGATGGGAGGGGCAGTATGTCTCCAAACAGATCTGGAAGAAGCATTGACATTTTCTATAACTTTACAGGAGTGAAGGTTACATGGGGGCGTGCATTTGTACACTGGAAATTACACACACACACACACACACACACACACACACCTGAACAGTGGACCTGAAATCTGCACTGCACACAGGCACTAGGGAAGTCCCACCCACTTCCCAGCATGCACTGGTGGTGCTGCCATGGGGGGTCTATCTTGAGAAGGTCTCCTCTGAGCTGCTGCGCTGAGTCCAATGTCCCTGAAGTTTTTCTGGAACGCCACAGCGAATATCAGTATACCAGTCTGGCTTGAGAGCTGTGCGGTCACAGGATAGAGCGTGTAAGCCAAAGCCATAGAAAACCACGCAGTGGGCAGCTGGTCTGTGACAGGTACCGGAACAAAGGTCATTTCCATTTAGAACCAAATTGGAAAGGCAGCTGGGAGAGGTCAGGGCATGGGAGGGTGGGATCTGTGTTTTGCCACTGAGGTGCACCCCCAGCCCAGCTGAGAGAAGTGACACCTAATTCAGTGACAGTCTTTCCCACTCAAACCTTGGCAGAGCTTTCAACTTAAAAAACTGGGGAGATCAAAGCCTCCCAGCTGATCACCTAGCTCCACACAGGTACAGCTGGGGGGCGGGGAGGCTGAACTCCCACACCTGGTCACTCACCCAATAGCAACAACAGAGAGAAAGGACAGCTGTGGGACACCACACCCCCAAGCCAGCCCAGCACAGGCTGCTCTGGTTCTCTTGTAGACAGCACATCGCTGACAAGTGTGGAAGAGAAACCACAGCGGGCACCTCACACACCCTGCTGTCCACAACACACCTGCCTGGGCTTGCCGAGGGTCCCCACACCTGCAAGATCTACAGAGAAAGTGAGCCACTCAGGTCAGACACAGCACAAGGCCTCAGGGACACAGAAAGATGCTCAGGAGCTTAGTGAAACCCTGTCTCAAAATAAAATAAAATTCTAAAAAGGCCTGGGATGTGACTCAATGGTAAAGTGCCCCAGGTTCAATCTCTGGTATATAAAAAAATTCATATGGATGCACAGAAGTCCTAGAATAGTCAAAGCCACCCTGAGCAAAAAGAACAATGCTAGAGCCATCCCATAACCAGATTTCAAGACATATTAGAGTCACAGTAACAGGTAGAGGGACACGTAAAGATTTCCTGAATAGGAAGGACTCTAATAGCTCAGGAAATAAAATGAAGTATTGATAAGTGGGATTATATCAAATTAAAAAGCTTCTGTACAACAAAAGAAGCAATCCACCGAGTGAAGAGAATGGGAGAAAATATTTGCAAGCTATACATCTGTCAGAGCATTAATATCCCCAATACATAAAGAACTCAAACTGTCAACAAGAGAAGTACAAGTAGTCTAATCATAAAAGGGCTAAAAATCTGAACGGGTACTTCTCAAAAGAAGTACAAATGGCCAACAGATATATGAAAAAAGTTTCGACCTCTTTAGCCATCAGGGAAATGCAAATGAAAAGGACACTGAGATTCTAAACCCCAGCCAGAGCAGCTCTTATCAGAAGAACCAGGGGCTGGGATTGTGGCTCAGTGGCAGAGCGCTTGCCTAGCATGCTCGAGGACCTGGGTTCCATCCTCAGCACCACATAAAAATAAATGAATGGAATAAAGGTATTCTGTCCAACTACAACTAAAAAAAATAAATATTAAAAAAAAAGAAGAACCAAACATAACAGATGCTGGTGAGAACTGGAGAAAAGGAACACTTAGCCACGGTTGGTGGGGATGTAAATTAGTACAGCAAAGATGGGGAAATGAGAGTGGAGGCTCCCCCACCTGTAAGTCCTGTGTATATACCAGAGGAAGTGAAGCCAGCAGATACGAGGGGCCCACATCCCCTTGTTTATTGCAGCACTCTCCAAAGTCGCCAAGATATGGACTCAGCCTAGGCGCCCCTGCAGCAGATGGATGGATGAAGGAAAGACACACCGTACAGTGTTACTCAGCCACAGAGGAGAAGGAAATCATGTTGTTTGCAAGAAGATGGATGGAACTGGAGATGGTCGTGTTACCAATGAAATAAGCCAGACACAGAAAGACGAGCGTCACGTTCCTCTCACCTGTGGGCACCAACAAGAGAACATGACCCGAAAGTAGAAGAAAAACTAATGGAGGAAGGGAAGTGGGTGGAGGGAAGAGAGGAGAGGGCAAGAGGGGCGTTGGGCGGGGTGACACAGGCATGTATGGAAAGGTCACAGAGAAACCCACGAATCTGTACGATTAATTTGAGTTCATAATTATAATTTAGAAAGAAGAAAAACGAACCAGATACTGAGACTTGAAGCAAGTCTCCACAAAATTCAAAGTCATGGTATCCTCAGTGTGTTGTCTGACTACAAAGTAATCAAGCTTGAGTGACTCCTCATGGGTACAAGGCTTCCCTTGGAGTGATGAAAATATTCTGAGATTCATAGTGACAATGGTGGCATAATGTCATGAATATACCAAACTTTGTTAGTGACAAACTTTATATTATGGACATTTTTACCACAATAAGAAAAAATAAGGGTATAGAATATTTGAATAATATTAACCTACTCATATACTTTGTATATATAGAAATCTACAACCAACCAATATGGAATACTCATTTTTAAATTTTTTTATAGTCGTAGATGGACAGAATGCTTTTATTTTATTTATTTATACGCGATGCTGAGGATCGAACCCAGTGCCTCACACATGGTAGCCAAGCACTCTACCATTGAGCTACAGCCCCAGCCCCAGAATAGCCTGTATCATACATTTCCCTGTCCCTTCAATGGGACATTAACAGAATGTACCTCATGGGGGTAGGCTTAGGTGACCCTAAAGTGAAGGCCTGCCCATGGCCTTCGAGGCCTGTCGAGGGTAGGCCTGGGTATACCCCAGGAGCCGAGTCCAGCCTCTGGCTCCCTGTTGGGGTTTACCAGATGTCCACTGGGCCATAAACTCTGGGGTCTGGATTTTGGTTGGGGACTGGAGCCCAGAGCTGAGGCTTGGGTGTCAGAGCTAGAACATGAGGTTCAGAATCAGGGTATCGAGTCTCAAGTCAGAGCCATGCAATCCCGAGCCTGGAGGTTAGAACTTGACCTGTGGGTTCTGGGTCTGGAAAACTGACACCTGGCAAAGACACACTTCGGGAGACACTGCTGGCAGAGTAAAAGACAGGGAAGGAACCCCAAGTTCAAACTCGGGCAGGAGACAGGACAGCCAGAGAGGGCAGCAGCCATCGGGAGGCTGTGTTACAGGGAAAAGGAGATCCTGGGGCAGCTGGAAGGCAGTGGCAGCCGGGGCTTAGGCTGAGGTGCTTCCCCAGTCCTGGGGTGGGCTCCCAGCACTCCCACCAAGGCAATCCGCAAACGTCAGAGAAGGAAAGCGACCGCGCCTGGAGGTGAGCAGAACATTCAACCAAGGTAGGGCTTCAGAGATGGTGGAAAGTGGAGCTGCTGTGTTCAGAACAGAGGATGCCGAGTGTGGGAAGTGTGTGCCCAAAGAGGAGAGACAAAGGACTCTCTACCAAAGGCAGGCAGCTGTTTTTGTGCACATCATGAT